TTCAGATAAACTCATCTAACCCTAAATCATACTAGGTTTGGATGTAACTTGCAGTTATAAACTTATCTAAAGTGCAGCAAAGTAGCTATGAAGCCCCAACTACTTACTTTCTTTGATTCAAAAGGCGAACAGCCCCCCTCCCCCAAGTAGTCGTATGGGGTGGGGTCCTTGTGGTAAGCTGACTCTGCCTTGGATATGAGGAATTCCTAAAAAAAGGCAAAGTCGGGTATTTGACGAAGATCTTCCTATCAATAGATAGGAATTGATGTACGATATAGGGTCGAAAATCTTAGAGATATGCCGCTGCATCTCTACAGCTTCTAGCACTTGTTGCTTCTAAGTGACAATCGACAGTTGGTTCTAGCAATAAATAAAGGAGAAAGATTAACTTCTGAAAACCTTAGAGATCTGCTGCTGCGACAAGGTTCATTCCTTGCCTGATCAGACTGCCAACAACATTCTATAAGAAGGAAATTCAGAGAAAACTCATCTAATCCTAAATCATACTAGGTTTGGATGTAACTTGCAGTTATAAACTCATCTAAAGTGTAGCAAACATACCTGGCTTGTTACTGCCATCCATATGAACAACAATTAGACTACTGTCCCAGTTTAAAAAATGGTCCAACTTCAATCCTAGAAACTATAACCATCACATGAAGATAAGGGTGGTTAGATTTGTATAATATTGAGACTCTCATATAAACATGTTTGATATTATATCGTAGTTATAAGAACTAGAAAGAATATAAACTTAATTGCATCCACAACATGCATATAAATCTTATACTTGCTACACCTAATATCGTATTATACTCACCAATCTAGCTCTGCATCTTGGGAAAATCAGAGTCCTCCCAACCAAACCAATCAGTATAATACAACAATTTGATTCTACCAATAGATCTAATGATTGTTATTCAAGCAAGAAAGAAAAATGTGAACGTGAACCCTTGTTCAATGTGGATGTGTAGAATCATCAGGAAAGCATGGACGTATTAACAAATTGGGCGCTTTGCTACTTTAAGGAATGATTCTATTCACACAAAACAGCTAAAGAAAGGAGAGTAAACAAATTATGCTCCAATTGAGAAAGACACCAGCTTTTATATTCTGTACATTTCCAATCGGGATCTAGATACAAAAAAAAAAAAAACAATGTAACTTGCCTGGTTACAAGGCGTTGACGACATGATGTGATAGGCTATGCCCTTACTCTTTGTGAATGTCCTGAACTGCTGCACTAATGCTTTTTCAATCTAACTCCATTACCTTCATCCACCCTAAGAAATGGAACGATACAGAGAGAGGGCTAGAGAGAGCTAAATTATTTACCTTAGCATATAAAGTGGGATCCAAGTGGTTATCTGCCGATTTTCAACCTCCACGGATCACTAGTGCCTTACAGAAAGAATGCAAGTGTGCTTAATATCCTTGCCCATGAAAACGAAAAGATGGAGTGATCCTTGCCATAGAGCAACAAAGTAACAGGTTAAGGAGTATAATATAACAAGCTCCATATACATATAGGTAAAGGTCACATTTCTAGAAGCAGCAAAGCTAGGATTTAAAAAGAGTAAACTAACAAGAGAAAAGCAAATTGACCATACACAAATAATAACAAGAGAAAAGCAAATTGGCAGTGAGAAAATATAAACTCTGGATAACATAGAGATGATTGTGCAGAAAAAGTTTGTATTGAATAATCAATACATATCTATTCCTTTTAACCACATAAACATGTTGAATCATAATTTTTATCCAACTTACCGTGAACATAGTATAGAACTTGTTCTTTGACATAGCACACTCACGATTCACTCTTGTAAACATCACACACACTTGAACCAACAACCTTGCGTTCACTATAAACCCCAAAAAGTAACTATAGTGCCAAACTAGTACATTACACATGTTGTTGCCTCTGAATAGTAAAATTATATATACCTCTTCTATGATTTGAAATGGTATAAGCAAAATATTTATATATAATTATAAACCATGACTACTTAATTAGGGTTCTAATGTAAAATGACTGGACAAAGAACTCGCCCATCCTAGTTTTGTGAATCGGTAACAAGAAATCCCAAAGCTCAGAGCCTTCTACTGCTGTTTTTGATCTATCATTCTAGTTCCCTGCAAACCGGGAGAACCACCTGCAATCGCAAATTGAAATCCGAAAAAATGAGTTTAAAACTCAATTGCACATCAAGGAAGATCAGATCTAGCGATTCAACTCAATTCTAGCACTTCACCGTCGCTCCAGCTCCACTCCACCTCTTTGGCGTTCCACCGTTCCTCGAAATTTTGGGATTTTACAAACATAAGAACGTAGAAATGGAATGACATGAAATTGAAAAGGTCATGCGGCCTCTTCCAATATGATCTAGAGAGACTCACATTGGCGAACGAATCTTACAACAGCGACGGAGGCTACTTACCGGAGTTGCGAACGACTAACGAGTCAAAAGATATGGTGGGAAGAACACGACAACTGAATTGAAGGAGACAATGGGGGAATCGCATGGCAGACACATCGATGGGAAAGATGAGAACTGAGAAGGAGAACACGGCGGAAGGACAAGAGAACAATGGCGGAAGGCGGAAGCAACGAAGATGAAGGAGAACGAGGTGGAGGTGGAGGGAAAGGAGAACGACAACGAGCAAAGAGTAGCCAGAGATACTCGCTGAATCTTGGTTTTCGTAGCGAATGTTTGCGAATTATATTTTAATCTTAGCGGGGTTTTTTAACCGCAGAAACAAATCCCTGATAGATGAAATGTTACAAAGATTAGCAAGGGTTAAAATAACCCTTGCTATAAAACCCTTGGCATAGGGCATTAATTTTGTAGTGTGTGGTTGGAATTGAAATTAATCATCTTCTTATGGTTGATGATGAGAATAGTTTAGGGCAGCATGCCGTTAGTGACAGTGAAGACTATGAATATTGTAGTGATGATGATGTGACTTGGATGCAAATTTTGATGTTAATGCCCTAATGTACTCTTAAATTCTCGATCAATAACCTTTGGTTGCTTTGATGTCCAGAATTTGGAGATTAGGGTTGTTTATGTGTTATGTTGCATGCTAGAGTGTAGTTTCAACTTGTTTTCAATGTTTATGAATTTCTTATTATGATTTTGACTTTACTATAATTAAATAATTTTCAAATTTCTTTATGTATATGAATAATGACATTTCATAGCTATTGGAAGTTTTTAGGTGTTTATATCTAACAAAATATAGGTTGCAGTCGGAAGATTTATCATAATTTTTATGATTCGTATAAACTCACGATTTTACGGTTTGCTTTTATGCTTAAATTGCTACCCATCATTTCGTTTATACATAAAAACTACAATTCAACTACATTGTAAGTAATAAGTATGAACGCATGTGCTCTGACAAAATGAGTTCATACACTATAGAAAAGACATTCATTAATGATGGAACTCTAATACTAGCCTTATGACATTGAATTTCAAATTAGTATTAGTAGGTCTATTCTAATATAATGATACTTGCCATATAGCATATGATCACAACTAATTAATGCATTAGCCTAAACCTTAAATTGTGAACTCCAAATACTATATTATAAATCCTATCGCTAAATTTCTAAACCAAAACCCTCCAAATCAAAGTAAATCTTAAATTTTTGTGTGCAAATTCTAGCATTTTCTTGTCCATCATATCATACATGACAATCGATATTGTTTTGACATGAATTGCTTGCTTATATGATGATTATGAGGTATGCACACCTAGTGTATAACATATGTATGTGTTCACACCTATTCGATGTGTTTTGAAATACACGTAGAACCATCTATATATGGTTCCTTATTTCGTATAGAGGATAAATCTAGGGTATCACATTACCCTTAATAAGAAAACGCTATCTAGACCTCGAACTAACCGGATTTTGAGGCATAATATTGTACTCTAATCCTGGTATAGGGTGTCAACTAGTGCTAGCTACACGGTTATGGAAGTTGGTAAATTATAGTTGGTATATTTCTACTATCATGTATACAACTATTATACACTGATATATTCATACAGCTATGAATACACTTTCATACCATCGTGGTATAATCTTTTGTGTTACCAAACATTATCACCATGTTATGGACTGATTATATATGTCTCAATCTTTTTGTTCCGGAATATATCAAAGTGGACGACTTCATGAAGAATACAATTAATCTGATTTATCTATGCAATAAAAAATTAAGACTTCAAGTGAATGTTAAAATTAATTAGGACAAAACATTAGTTGACTTTTATAAATGATAAGTATATATGATTATGCATGGTTATTGACATATAAGTTATTGATGGAATCTGCTTTCAAAATAACGGATATAGATAAGATATTAATTGGCAGTAAGGATGTCAATTTTGCGCATGCCCATGGGTTTTTTACTATCCAACCCAATTGGGTTGGGTATGAAATCCAAATATATGGATATGGGTAGACTTTGATGGGTTTGTACCCATACCCATTTACTTTGAGTTGGGTTGGGTTTATAACAAATAGATTTGGGTTTGTACTCATGCCCAAATACAAATTACAGTTTAGTACCTAAACTTAATAGATATGCATATTTAGTACCTAAATTTAATATTTTTTGCATATAATTCCTCAAAATATCGATGGAAAATTATGTTTTGGTACCTAAATTTTTTGTCTTACATTTTAGTACCTAAAATTTTCAAGTTTTACAAATAGGTCCAGTTTTTGCATGTTTAGTGAAAACACCCTCAAGTAAATGGATATCCATATCCAACCCATACCCATTTAGATTATGGAAGCAATATCTATACCTTACCCAAACTCATCTACAAACCCCCCAAACCCATATGCACTTCACCCATACCCAACCCATTATCAATGGATCTACTTGGTTTGGGTATAATTACCAATGAGTGGGTAATTGCCATCCCTAATTGGGAGATCCACCAGTCTTAAGCACAAACCCCTTAAACAATATTATCCCTTTTATATCACATCATCATGACATAGTAATAATATATAATACACCAGGACATGTGATTAATTTCACAGATGGTTCTCCCTTATGATTATTAACTAATCAGAATCAGACTTAATGAACGACAACACAGAAGACAGCTTATTAATTTGGTACCCATGAGTGGATAACCAATTTTATCAAACGGGTTCAATTAAACTCTTTTCCACCACCAGCACCATTAATATTTGACAGACATACAATTTTGGTTTGGTTGAGCTCTAGGCTCTAGCTAATGTAGTACATTGGGTCAGGGAGTTTGAAGGTACGGAGTCCCGTGCTGGTGCCCAACAGATCACTCCACTGATCTCCCATATTCCCCACGATCCTAAACCCTTCCTTCTCCAACTTCCCTCTCTCACTCGACTTGTACGTCACCGCCGTGCTCCCCGAATACGACGACGTCCTGCAACAAAAACGACAAATTTTGTTTTTTTTTTTTTTTTTGTTGTGGTTGTTGTTGTTGGCAAATTCAATGAGTACTGGAGGAGAGTGCAGAATTAGTAGTACTTACTTGAGAATGAGTTTCTCCCAAGTGTAGTAGCCTGCATTCTTGAGGTTGGTCTCTGTAACAGATCTTTGATCTTCAGTTCTCCCAGTTAGGAACACAACCTTTATCCCCAACGACACTATCTTCTGGTAGAGTGTGAAGGATTCTGGCAGCACCAATGCATTCCCTTCCAATACCCATTCGTTGAATGGAGTTGGATCGAACGGCTCCGCCCTTTGATCCATATCCAAAATTAGAACTCATTCAAACAAAGATAGCTAGGAAGAACACTCGTAATATATTAATATTTGGAGCCCGGCGAAATGTAGCGGTTAATAATCGACATAATATCATAATCTTCGGAGAAAGAACCCGTATTTGATTCCAAGTAATGGAATAACTAAATATTTTATTTAGCATAATGTATGATACATGTATGTGAGCTCTTTAACAAATTTGATAGCATAATGTATGGTACAAATTAGTTTGTATCATGAAACGATTTGTACCTTTATGTTATGATACACGTTTATTTTGCATCATAACATAATGATACAAAATTAATTTGTACCGTAAATATTTTTTTTTAAATTAAAGTACTAATACTATAAAACATTGTAAAATTTCTCACGCGTGAATGCTAACTCTATTTATTTTACATAATTCTTTCGTCCAAAATTATATATTGTTTCAAATCTCTTAACTAACACGATGAAAAAAGGAAAATATTAAAAATTTGTTTGTTATAAAAAGGTGACTTGGAAGATGTTGGTGCATGCACAATCCAGAAGACCGGGCAATAAATAAACAATAAAATTATAGACTAGGGAGCAATAATTGAGTAATATACTAATAATAATATCTTCCATTTTTTCACCTTCTTTCCGGCAAGACTATTAATATTATATGTCGATAAGTCAAAAAAGAAGAGAGAAAGGAAAACATCTCCCCTTCACCCTGAAGTTGGCATAATCAAACTGAACTCGTTATTGCCAAATGATGATTGAGGAAGAGCGGTTACCCTTACCCGAATCCATGCTTGGCATAGTAAGGCAAATTGGAGAGCGTAGTCTCATCAACGTCAAACACCCACACATCCTTGCCGTCTCCGGCGAGGTCGAGCCCGGCGGCGTAGACAAGAGCCTCACCGGCCACCACTCTCGAGTCGCTCCGGTACTGTTCTCCCAACATGTAATTACCCACATACCCTTCACATTCCTGCGGGACGGTTTTCCACCCAATCAAATTGTTGGTCTCCACGCCAAGCCTCCAACTCAGGCAAGACAGGCCGGCGACATGGTCGCCGGCTGATCCCGACCGCGGCCTTAGCGGGTGGATCTCTCTCGGCAGCTCCAGTAGTAGTAGAGAGCCATGACCGGTTGAAACCAGAAATGCTGCTGAAAGGAGAAGTGACAAAACCATTTTCAGGCGGATTGCCATATCTGTGATGAAGAGTGGATGCATTTTGAACGAGGGATGGTGTGGGTTGTTAATTGAGATAATAAGTTTAAAAAATGCTTGGTGGGTGGTCATCATCTAGTCCTGGTCAGCTCAGTCGATCTTTCTTTGTCTGGTTCCAACATGGGCGGCTTGTTATATTTCAATCAAATTTACTAAACACATGTTACACGTACGTGGTCCTGCAGTCCCATAAGGTTGTTGTCTTTTAATGATGAAAACAACGTATGTATTAGTTTATGGAGGCTACCTAATTGCTTTGATCAGCGGAGATCTCTATGTAACATTTGGATTTGTTTTGAGCGAAGTTGGACTTCATGATTTGGAGGGAGGTGCGGGTCTTGCCAGAGAAGATGACTTGCAAGAAGCTAACTTCATGTTGTATAGGTCGTTGGTCTGGATTATGATCAAACAATAAGATCACAATTTTCGAGTACAATTATGATGGGGTTGTCACGTAACCTCATCAAATGTCGTTGGTTACGTCGTTGTTGTTTGGTGTCTCTCCGGATAGCTTATTGGATTTGTAAGAACGTCAGAAAGTGAATGGGTCACTTCTCGTTCTATTGTTGACACTAGAGCCAAAAGGTTAAAGCGCATTCTGGATGTAGGGATGAGAAGGAGAAGTGTGAGTGTCATGGCTTGATGAGCGATTGGTTCTATTTCAGTTCCCGACGACAACTACTTGTCAATGGATATTTGAAAGAGACTAGGTTAGATGTGAAAATATTTGTGTTGAACATGTACAAAATCCAAGATGGTTGATTGAACCTATTCCCTAATGGTTTACTAGTATTGCTCTATGATGTCAAATACTGCAATCTGCTTAAAATATTTTCTCAATGTTAAATTGTTTGGACATGACTACTCTATTTTTTATGATCATAAGATAAGGATGGTCCATAGGTTAAAAAAAATTAGTGGTTGAAGTGATGGAGGTAGTAGTTACGTGATATCTATTAATATGTAATCTTGAAACGCACTCAGGTCTATCCTAACAAAATCAAGTATAACTATGCTAGAGATGCAGTAAAGTGGCTCGGTAGTATTCCAAGGGAACCCTAGGCTTACTATTACTTCGCTCTGAACTACTATCTAATCAACTCAGAAGGTTGGGGGGTAGAACTATCCTAAAGTAACTACTTAAACAACCAAACCAAGTGGTTGGGAGACCACTAGAGATGAGATGGTTGTCTATGGTAGATTTCCTCTACCTATAGGTTGTTACGGGCGATAATCTTATGGTATCTTGAGGTGCTGAGATCACGAAGGTGTGGATCATCTCAATGGTCATTCAATCGATCCCCTTTCTAACTAGGATAGTTGGTTCAATGTCATCTCATACGGATTACCTAACTAGGGATGTGTTTTACCTCCACTAAACGACTTAAATCCATCCGTGCACAAGTTGGGTAGGTAGATGGTCACGCACCTAACCAACGAGCATCAACTAGGTGAGAATCTAACTAGAAGGGGATGGTCACCTCGACCACTAGCTAGCCTTCTAGGTTATCCAATCGAGGTAAGAAGCATTCACGCACATCTAAACCTAATTATAAGAATTAAGCACCCTAGTCAAACTCACTTATACCATAAATTCATGTTCAAGGCGAGGGGCGGAGCTACTCAGAGAGTAGGGTGGGCCCCGGCCCACCTGGGAATAGTCTCGGCCTCTAGGATCGTAAGAATATTTAGATAAAATTTGAATAAGTAGTGTTCGGCCTATATATTGTAACATATAACAACCATGTAGTCTATCGGAAGCTAAGCTAAACTTTTAGCCTAAAGCAAACAAGTTCGATCCACAACAACCTCATTTTTGCTTTACCCACTCCTTTTCATTCTTTTTTTTTTTTTTACTTTAATCCAGCTACAAATGAAAAAATCAACCTCTATTTAGTTCACTTGAGATTTTTAGCTCTTTATACAAACTATATGATCTATATTTTTTTATGATCTACATATTTATATGGTATTGGTGATCTATGTATCAAGCATTCATCTCATACAAGCATGCATAATTGCGTCCAACTAAATATACATGCATAAGGCAATAGCATATCGCATAAGAAGAGTTTCCCATCAAATGACTAAAACGTGGATGAAAAAGAATCGAATTACTAAAGCATGTCAAAAAATCATAGAAAGTGATGCACAAAGCATCATAGAATTCACATCACTAAATAATGAAAAACTTAATCAGCCATAGAAGAGATAGATCACACCACCATCAATGATGAAGGCATCTCCTTGAGTTTTGACTTCGCCTCTTCTATGGATGCTAAGGACCAACTCGATGGCATAATCCCCGAGCCTTTTTAATTTGTTTGTAAAATAATGTCTAAAATCTCTAGCCTAAGCTTCTATTTAGACTAACATCTAGAGGGTCAAAACTGTCTACAAATAAGGAGTTTTTCCCAAAACCAGTACTTACCAAACTTGGATTCGCCACAAAGTTAGTGAGAAGCTTCTTGAAGCTTATAGAAGTCTCCTAGTCAACTTTAGACTTGATAACACCTAAATTGGTGTTATTTAACCTTCATTTTAAGGTTTGTTTCATGCCAATTCATGTGCATAAATGCTTAAACATCGTCAATTGCATCCCTTTCGGTTCCTATTTGAATCCGATGTGATTTTAGGGTGTATTAAACGATACATGCGAATAAGGTACAAAATAAGGCCACAAGTGTAGCTAAGGGGCAAGAAGCTAAAGATCGTGGCTTGGAAGCTGAAGATCACGGTCGAGAAAACAGGGCACAAAGTCAAGCTTAAGATCGCAGCCTGGAAGCCCAAAATCGCAGCCACGAATTGGAGGGCTCAATCTCGAACTTCGAGAGGAAGGAGCCATGGAGAAACAGAAAGTTTACCCAGTCAAGTCACGGCCAAAACACATTTTTCCCGCAAGGAAGATCGCGGCCATGATAAGTGGATCGCGACCGCGAAGTCAGCCGGCGATCTTCCCTTTCAGAAGGAAATTACGATGGCGTTTTGAGATCGCGGCCTCTCCGCAGAATATCCCGCCCACGATGTCCTCACCTCTGGCCGCGAACTTCTCCGTCCCCGAAAGGGTTATAAATAGAAGACCCCTTTCCCCCTTTTAGAAGAGCTAATTGTGAGAGAAAATTTTGGTTTTAGAGAGAGAGAAGAGAGAGAATCTGAAGGAAGGAGAAGGAGCTAGAAGAGAGGGAGCATCTTTCTCAACCCAATTCTTCTTCAATTTCTTCTATGTTTCTTCTTTCCTCCTTTATGGAGTAGTCCTCTAAGGTACTAGAGGTTCTAAACCCCAAACCCTAGTTTTAGGGTTCATTATGTATGTTTGGATATTTTAGGGTTTGAATGAATGAATGTGTTTATCTAGTTGATTTAATTGCTATTCTACCATGGATTGTGTTTGTGGTAGGGTGACCTAATCTTCTCTATTAGCCTACTTTATGCTTACGCGCTTGGTATGGAGTTCTAGGGTTAGACGGGTATGCGCCATCGATCAAAACGTGATAGATGTATGAATAGGAACCCCTGCAGTAGGTTAGCCTTTCTAGATAAAACACGGGATAAAACCTCGGTGTGGATGGTGGATAGTGTCTATTGAAATGAGCCATATGCTTAATTCCCCAGATACGATAGCCTAGATTGAGGTGACTATATATGGGTTTAGGGAAGGCGTACTCGGAAGCGTGTGGATAACCACGAAAGCCCACAAAAAAGAGCTCACTCACCACATTCGATAACCCTAAGTATCTTACATGCATAGTAACCCTAAGCTAGGGGGAGGGTTAGTTTTGCGAAGTACCTGCTTTCAGCTTTGATCAATCTCTAGTCTAGTTATCTCCTCAAATGCTCCGATCCACTCAAACCTCCAAATCGATTAACTAATTAGTAATTAGGTGGGAAGTAGGCTAGGGTACCAGGACCTGAGAAAAATACAATCTTGATTACCACTATACGACAATGTCGTCTTAGGTTAAACTTGGCATAAAATAGGGTATTTGTTGACAAGTGCTAACCATTGATAATAATTTGCACGGATTGAAGTGATCAATACTCTTTCTGAGCACAACATCATCAAATTTTCACTCCAAATTGGGCATATTTGTGCTCCGAATGGGTTGAATCTTGGTTTGATAAATTACATATTTATTTTTAATAAAAATTATATTGGTTTGATAAATATTAAAAATTTATTGATACGTGGGATAAATAAAAAGGAAGTGATAACGTAGGATAAAAGACATCACGAATCAAGATATATAATCTCTATGATTATGATAGATTTTATATCTCTAGATTTTAGAGATTTGAAATCTCTAAAATAAAATCCACAATAAAAAAAAGAGATTTGAAATATTTTTCTCCAAAAAACCCCTAAGGGTTCGTTTGGATTAGAGATTTCGACACAATCTTTTTTACCTGATTTTGTCATAACTAATATTATTGAACCCAACTCAGTCTCTTCCTCCTCTACTTGCATTACCTCCCATGGTGCCCCTCCGCTGATGATTCTACTGCCAACTTCAATCACTAACACTAACGATTTGATTGGTGCAGAACAAATTCAATATGCTGAGAAATTTTAGGGTTCTGGGTGGGTTTTGAGTCTTTGTTCTTCCTCCTAGATTTGTTTACCTACCTCTGTCATATCTTTCTCAGTCTCTCTATGGCTTTTGATATAGGCGAACAATTGAGTAAGCCCTCTCTCTGATCTTCATCTATATATAAACCCAGATCATGGGGACAAACCAGACAACCACTACTTTGAGAAAGAAGACTAAGAGGATGATGTCATTGTAGTTCAAGAGGAGGAATTCCTTCTTTGTTGGCTTATTTGTCATTCGTCAGGATAGTCAGGGCTCTTGCTTTGATCTTCGTCTTTGCCCGTTTCGTCTCCTATGCAACTTGCTCGGTGTTGGTATTTTACAAGAGAAAGGTCCGGCCTTTCTGATCAAGGATGGAGGTTTTAAACTATTTTATGAAGAAAAAGGATTGTTGTTGTAATCAGGGATAGAGATAAATTGTATGTTTTGTATTCAGAAAGGGTTTG